TTCTGCACCCCCTCCTTCAGGAGAGCTCGCTAACCCTTTGATGGCTGAATTTTCACAACTGAAATACCCTTATTGCCAGCTCGGCCCGACGCCCCAGACGGCCCTTTGTCCCCTCTTGCCCCCAAGGGCAGCCACCCTCCTGCTTGGGGCAGACAGATGGGCTTCGCCTGTTTCTGCTCGTCCTCTGACGGCACCCACAGCCTCGCGGGCCTGGATTCCTTTGCTGGACATCGTGTCTGGAGATTCATCGGTGCTGTTGTCCCAGCCATTTTTAATGACAACACAGTATTTTAGCTTATGGACGTGCCAGTATTTATTTGTCTCTGATCCTCTATTTTGGGCTTTTAGGTCTCATTTTTCAGAGGACATAGACTGAAACCCCCACCTTTTTAGAAGCAGCCTTCGCATATACTTCTCATCTGGACTCCACCAAAGCCAGGCGCACAGACACTTCATTTTGAGGGAGGCTGCGCATATAGCGCGTGAATCCCGTGAGATGGCAGGGGCGGCGTCCCTGTGTATCAGATGCGGGTGCCCAGGCTGAGGGTTGAGGCAGTGCAGTGTGTGAGCAGCGGGAGTTGGGGAGACTGCCGGGACATGGGCTCCCTGCCATGGCGCCACGCTGCAGGGCTGGCCCCCTGGTCCCCAGGCCTGAGTCGCCCCCTTGCTCCTTGCCATGCCAGGCTGTGCCCTGAATGACTCTCCTGTGGGGCTGGCTGCCTATATTCTGGAGAAGTTCTCCACCTGGACCAATGCGGAATACCGGTACCTGGAGGATGGCGGCCTGGAAAGGTGAGACCCCGTTCATTCGCCCCCGCCGTCAGGACCCCGGTCCCAGCAGCCACCTTCCTCACCGTGCTCTTCATCCTCATCTCTGCTTGCTCGGCCTGGGGTGCTCAGCAAGCTCTGCCTGTTGTTGACTTTCTCACAGCTCCTCACCCCGTGACCGTCGCAGGCCCGTATTTTGGACGAGGTCGTCCAGTGATTCGCTCCAAGCCTCACAGTGGGGAGGTCAGGACTAGGCTGCAGGGCTCAGCTGCCTGGTGCTCCTGGGGCTCAACAGGCCCCTCCTGGGATCGGGGAGTCCAGAGGGCAGTGGGCGCCCCTTTATCACCGAGAGCAGCCAGGGCCTCTCCTCGTGAACCCCTGGAGAGCCTGGCTCAGGCCCACATGACTGTGTGTCCCCAGAGGGTAGCTGCAGGAAGACGGGGGAGGCTGTCACATCTCCCAGGGCCTTCACGGCTGCAGCTTCTACAAAACATGACTCAAGACCGGGCGCGGTGGCTCACGCCTGTAATCCTAGCTCTCTGGGAGGCCGAGGCAGGCGGATTGTTTGAGCTCAGGAGTTTGAAACCAGCCTGAGCAAGAGCGACACCCCGCCCCTACTAAAAATAGAAAGAAATTAACTGGACAACTAAAAATATACACACACAAAAAAAAAAAACTAGCCGGGCATGGTGGCGCATGCCCGTAGTTCCAGCTACTCGGGAGGCTGTGGCAAGAGGATCGCTTGAGCCCAGGAGTTTGAGGTTGCTGTGAGCTAAGATGACGCCATGGCACTCTAGCCCGGGCAACGCAGTGAGACTCTATCTCAAAAAAAAAACATGACTCTAAACCCCCCTGGCCTGCCTGGGACTTCACCAGGGTCAGCCGTGACCCACCTTCTCGGGGGCCCATCCCTTTGTCTGTTCCACCGGTGACACACAGAGGACCAGACGGTGCTGGGGATAGGAAGTGAGGCTGAGGTGAGATAGGATCCCGCCCTGGGGATAGGAGCTCATCTTGGCCAGGCCGTAGCCCCTAGAGCAGTACCAGGCTCTAGTGGGAGCTCAGTAAGTAGCTGTTGGATGAAGGAGCTCCGAGGATATGTGCAAAGGGCTGTGGGAGTCCAGAGGAAGGAGGATTCACTTTAAGGGGCAGAGAGGGGAAATGACTGGGAGAATGTATTCGATCTGGGCCTTGAGGGATGAGTAGGAGTTTGCTGGATAAAGGAAGGGGATTTAGGCAAAAAGAAAAGCAATAAAAATACAAGGCGTCTTAGAAAGGGTTACTGTTCAGAGGCTGGAGCGGGTACTTTGGGGGCAGACTGTGCGCTCATTCCTGCAGGCAGGTCCTCCGCAGGCCTCGGCAAACCCTTCCTCTGAGACCTGTTTCCCTACCCCACGTTCAGGGGCCCCAGCGGGTGAGGGACTCCTTTAGGACTACCTGGGCCAGGGGTCTGGCCTGCTCCCTGTGTACAAATACCCGGCGCCAGTCGCGAGCCCCAGCAGACACCCAGCCAGGCCACTCCTGCAGCTCCTGCCCCGTCTACAGGGGGCATCAGACTTCGAGTGAGACAGTCAGGATCAGATCCGTCTTCTAGAAAGAACAGTGGGGCGGAAATGGTGGTTGTGGGAGTTTTCAAGCTGAGGCAGAGCCGAAGGGGATATGGAGGCACGTGGCGCTCGCAGAAAGCAGCGCACAGCGTTTACGAGTTTATTCTAACTCCTCTTTTCACTGACCGGTTCTCGTTTTGTCAAAATCGCATTCAAAAGGGGGATCTTTACCCCTGCTAGATATCCAGGGTTCCCTAGAGACCCAGGATTTCCGAGAGCAGGGATGAAGCACTAAGAAGAGTACGCTCTTGAGTGCGAAGATGTCTCCGCAATCTTCCTTCCCGGCCTCTTCCCAGGTCGTGGCTCGCAGGCTCCCGGGTAACAGCAGCGCCCCCCGCCGGGCCCTGCTCTGCCCTCAGCCTCCCCCTGCTCCCGTCTCCAGCTGCGTCGCTGCTTGCAGGGCAGAGATGAATCTCCCTAAAATGTGATTGTGAGGATAAAAATATGATCAACCAACTGCACCTAAATGGCTGAAGCAAACTGGCCATTTTGGTGACTTGGCTTCTGGTGACTCAGCCAACTACTGCCCTAGAGCTGAGGGGCCAGGCCAGAGAACCAGCAAAGGTCCTCTCATTCAGGCAGCACGGCAGGAGCTGGGCCTCACCTGGGACGGGAGGGCGGGATTGGAGGATCGAGGGCAGCTGGGACATGGTGGGAACAGGGAGAGGGAGACTCCACGATGACTCAGGTCTTAGCCCGGCTGCCGGGTGTGGAGGATGAGGAAGGGAGCATCGGTGTGTGCACATGTATGTGTGTGCATGTGCATGTCTGAGTGTGCGTGGGGGGGCGTCAGAGCTCACTATTGTCGTGGACGTGTTGAGTGGGAGATGCTGGAGGATGTCTGGGTGGAGAGGTCCACTGGGAAACTGGACCCACATGTCTGGAGCTCAGGCGAAGGGTGGAATCGGAGGGAACTACTTACACTGTGTTCCCGGTGGAGTTAGTGGCTAGAGCCATGGTGCAGGTCGCAGAGAAAACGTGGACAGCCCCATGCACGGATCCTGGGGAAGACCTATTGGCTACAGAAGGAGGGAGAGAGGAAGCGTGCGCTCGGGTCTGGAAGGACAGAACCTAGTGAGAGGCCCCGACCTATGAGGCCTGGGCAGCAGGGGCAGGTCAGTGTGCAGGAGTTGAGGAGGAATAGGAGAGGTCGGGGCAGGAGAAGGGGACTGGAGCATGGAGGGAAGGCGGTGGGGGGAGGGCCCCAGGGTGACAAGAGGCCCTTAGACTGCAGGCAGTGGGGGCCGGAAGTGACTGACAAAGTTGG